TTCCTAGTTTTTCAATGTAACAATGCAATTTTGTTTCATTAAAAGCTCAAAATCTATTGTTTTAATTATAAACCAGCCGGGTATGTTCACTTCATGGCTCATATTGTAACATTTCCGGCTATCATGGGGTGCCTTGGCCTGTTCTTTTTTTCGCCATGTCGCTTCATATATTTTTCTTAATAAATCCGAGAAACATTCATCAAACAACAAATTAAAAAAAATGGTGTGGCCTAAGTACTAGTCACAGCAGTCATGTAGCGCGTCGCGTCGTAAAGAATATGTAACCATCTGTGTCACGTCGGCGGAGGCTGATATATCTCCACTCTCAGAACACACACGGATGGATAATCCACTGGTTCATCCGAGGTCAGAAGATAACGAACGATGGCCGCCTTCAAGTCAAATAAAGGTCGACTTGCTACGCTTGTTGTAGCCTCTACCAGGCTCCGCGGATCGCTGGAAAAATAGTAGAAATTTGCCGAAATAAAGGGATAGTACACCCGTGGGTCGCAAATTGGAGCTTCTATGGCCGGCTGGATCTTCTCTGGTGTACTATCCCTTTATTTCGGCAAATTTCTACTATTTTTCCAGCGATCCGCCTGGTAGAGGCTAGTAAGAAACAGGAGGAGCGAGTAGAAACAGGTAAAAACCCCTAGTCCCGGCCGGAGTTCGAACCCGGGCCGGGGTTCGAACCCAGGACAAAACCCGGGCACCAGTCCATATGCCGACGCTCTAACCACTAGGCTGAAAAGGTCTAGACCCAGGCCAGGTCAGTTGGTATAATAGTTTATTAGAATAGAATAGATTAGAATAGCAGTTACCTTGTTCCTATTACCTGTTTACATATTGCATATTTACTTTTTTTTATCCTGTATATGTATACCAACGTTAATAGATTTAAGTACAGATGGTAGGTTCGATAAGTATATCGTTGGTCCGCGTTTAGAGAACAGTTTGCCGCACCTGCTCTAGCTAACCACTCGGCTGAAAAGGTCTAGACCCCGGCCAGGTCAGTTGGTAGCGCCTATAACCCCCCCCCCCACACACACACACACACACTGTTACAGTATATATAACTATATCGTAAAAGTCTACGCCAGAATTAATGTCATAAATCCTGGCATGATTGCACTACCTGAAGCACTCCCGATTCCGCCCAAGTCCTGAAAGGGCCATGAAATCGTCACGATCTTCAAATATAGTTTCACGACATGGAAGGGTGGCTACTAGACTTGTCTCACTTCTTCGCCTTCTACCTCGATCGGCAATCATTGACCAAACCCGTATCTGTTCGCAAATTGCACGCCATACTTCTGTCGAATTGAAGCCCGAATGTAGGGTTAACTTTGTCAGCTCCCAGTATGAAGTGATGTGACACGGTGAGTGTGGACACACGGTATGCATGTGTAATGAGCTTCAGTTAGATCTTGTTTCACGGGCCTGTCAGTAACCAAATCGATTGCATCTGTAGATAAGATAACTTGCCGTCAAAAGTCCACTTTGATTTGAAGTTTGTGATGTTCCACCTGACCCCATGTCTCGGACCGACTTCACCCGGCTGACATGCAGCGATGTCAACCCTCGCACGTCCTGTCACCCCCGTTAGTCTGTAAGCTCCTCACACCACGCTAATCGTCTTCCCGCCTGTCGCAGCTTTAGAAAGTGTCAGTAGGGATTAAGATCGTCAGAACATTCATCAATTCAACTTAACTTAGGGATGTGGTGTAGAGAATTTCAGCAGGGAAGGGGTAAAAGCGTAGCCTGTATACCATCCGGATTTTGAAACGAGCGGAAATCGCGGATGGTACCCAGGCTAGTAAAAGTTTGTTTGTTTGTTTGTTTGTTTTTATTTATTTAACCAGGGGGATACATATCGCCCGTGGGGCGCTTTTCAATGAGCCCTGGGCCTGGGGAAGACCCCAAACAAAAACATCAAACTCAAACTAATACAAATAATCAACAAAAGTAACTTATAAAGTTACAAAAGTTACTAAATAATACAAAAGCAAGGTAACTTAAGTAGCATACATTGCGCATGAAATCATGATACCAAAATAAGTGAAACAAAAGTGAAGCCTGACCATCATATAACATAGAACCAAGGTAGGACAAAAAGAAATCAAGATTAAAATCAGGCTTGGAATTTGCATATCAATGATTGCCCAGTACATAAGATTGCTTGAAGGCTGCTAGGGTCCTGGCTGCTTTTAGGTGATGTGGTAGTGTGTTCCACAATACCGCCCCAGACGAAGAAAAGGCACGTCTTCTGTATTCTAACTTAGTCATTGGCAACTGAAGACCTCCTTGCGCCCTGAGGCGAGTGTTGTGAGTATGCACGTGTGATAATTGAGTGAACATTGCAGTGATGTAGGAAGGAGTCAAACCGTTAATAGCTTTATAGACGAGAGTAGCTTTGCTTTTCTTATGTATTTCAACCACTGGGACCCATTTTAGTGTGTTTAGAAGGGTTGAGGTAGAAGTTCGCCTGTCACAGCCCAGAATCACCCGACCCACCCTGTTTTGTAGCTTTTGCAAATTTTCAATGTAGCCCTTCCCTGCCGTGTCCCAGACAGTGCTACAGTACTGTATGTGCGGAATGAATAGCGTTGTGTACATTACATCTAGGGCTTGTCTGTTTAGGTAGGGTTTCAAGTGCTTAATAATGCCAATGGTCTGAGCAAGTTTCTTGTACATATGTTTGAAATGTTCGTTCCATTTGAGAAGGCAATCAATAGTGACCCCAAGATATTTAAAACTAGTCACCTGTTCGAGTTTAGCCCCGTCTAATATAACATTAAGCTTGGTATTCGCCACATTCATGCCTGCTGACCCTATAAGCATTGTCTTACATTTACTAGGATTTAGGGAAAGCT